GAAGCGCCTTAGAAAAATTGTACCATGCAGATGGAAAATTACTCTTGATAAAGCAAAGACTGATAGTAACATATATGTAACTAAATTTAGCAACAAACATAATCACCAAACGTTTTCACCTATATTTCGATCAAATCCGGCCAAGGAAACTGTTTTGTCTAATGACTATAAGTTTGATGTTCAACAAATTTTTTCACCAATGACCCAGGACGATGATATTTCGGCATGGGAGAGTTTTTTTCGCAAAAAACTTGATATGGTTGATAATTTTGGACACCCGATGACAATGTATCCTTTATTTTGATCGTTCAAAATTTGAATCTCTTACAGTAATAAAGGACTCCCTTTAATAAAATGTATTATTAATCAATTGATTATAGAGTCCCTTATATTGTAAGAAATTCCAAAACTTTGATAGCTAGACAATATATTTTCTTGACCATAATAAACAGATATGAAATACTAAAAAATATGCCGGGTACTCAATTAAAAGACCGATCCAAAATATCGTGTGCTCAACAATTTGGCAACTTACGTGTGATGGAAAAGGATAAGGTGGAAATTTCGATCGATTGGACTAATATCGAATTAAATGCACTATTGGAACAATTATCGATTGTTTCCGACAAATTTTGTTCGTCATCCACAGTTCCAAAAATATTTGGCTTTCCATATTTCATTGTCACTGACGATAACCAATATGAAGAAGTAACTGATATCGATGCTGCTTTGCGAAATGCCTATTCATTACCTTTACGCAATCAAGATGAAGAACCTAACATTTTACGGAAGAAAATAATAGATTTCTTGAATGGAATTTATTATCCAGAAACTAATGATAAAATTCAATGTCTTCGTGAATTTGCAATAGAAGAACTTATCCGAGATCTCACTTTCAGCTCTCACGTTTTAGTATCGAAATATGAACATAACTCGGAATATTCTCTATCTTCAAATTTTCTTCCAATGTCAAAAGTCACACCAATATTTGAACCTTTTGAAACTTTTTCAATAAAATGTGATATATCGCGGGATAAAAATAAATTATCGCAAGTTAATAAATCACTTGAGCTTACACCTACTGTACAGACATTGTTCGATGACTGGATTATCGGACAAGATGTTAAAGAATATGAATATCATTATCGACGTGTAAATAATAAACTCATTCAAGAAACTATGACAACTTCTGGAGAATCAGATGGGGATCATTACTTTAGTATGCATACATCGGATGAGCAAACGTCAGCATTTGAAGCTGATGGAGTTGAGAGTAACGAGGAAATAGTTACAAAACGGCCAAGGAAAAAAAGGACACGCAAGTCTGGATTTTTATGATCTTCAAGACTGTAAATTGATTCTGGTAATTAACTATTCATTCTTCTTCATGAAGGCTTCACACATAGAATTTTAAAAAAATAGACTAATTGTAACTGAGATAGAGATGAAATTAATTTCACTAAATTTCACCAATAGTAGTGAAATTATTTCACTGGTTTATCATCTTTGATAAAATTCCGAATAAATCATGTTATCCTAAAATAGCCTTGCATATCAAATTTGGTATAATGTGCAGTGCGCACAAGCATACCGATACAGATCATGAATGCATCCATTATAATGATGCATAATTACATGTGAACGATTTTTAAAATTGTCAAATTGTATTTGATTATCGGTTTTGTTTCATGATAGAAATTTGAGAACGAATTATAATATACAGTGCATCAATCAAAAACGGGATTTTTCGTGCTTTTCTTATTTATTTCTTTTCCCATGAGATATTAATCATTAAAACCGCTTTATTTGTGAAGAAGAAATGATTGTTATATTTTCCGATAAATAAATGATCATTGTTCTATTCTCATTGTTAGGCTACATTCGTTATACCATACGTTGTTGAGAACAATATAACATTGTGGCTTCCCTGGTATTTGACATTTTATTTGTTCTCATGGGTTGTTTATGGCTTGAGTGCCTTTGTTTTCATGTCAAATGTCAAAAATAAAAAAAAAATAAAAAAAAGCGCAAATCTTGCTTAAAGTTAACAACTATTGCGTAATGTCCACGATCTGATTGTTGCACGAACATGCTGCTCTTAGAGAATCACATCTTGTTAAAACGAATTATTGAATTGGACGCACGTGTGCGTCAGTCTTTGCTAAAAATTTACCGACAAATAGCAAGAACATCTTCGGAATTTGAAACAATGAAATTCGATAATATAGATTACGCAGCGTGGTGCCATACCATCGCCATGTTAATAGAAACAATTGTGAATATCTTGGATTCCACAATTTGGCGGTCTGTTTCGTTTCTTATGCAAATGCACATTTATGGATCACAGATCAGCTCAAATGTAAGTCCACGAGTCTTTTATGTCCTTTCACAAAGAGAATTACAAGTTATTCGCGTAATTCTGCATAAGGTCCACTTGCCATCCAGATTTCCGGTTGCAATATGCAAATCTCGCCTCTTTTTTTTTCTTTCCCTTTTTTTTTATGCATGGTGGCAGGGATCCTACGTACGTACGTACGTATGTACGCACGTATTCAAATTTATATATTATTTATTTTTATTTATAAAAGAATAAAAGATGATAACGATCAATTGCGCTCGGGTAACTATTTCAAAACTGTAACGGTAATACGTAATATCAGAATTGAGAAATTTCAAGATCAATTATGGTAAGTGGCATGGCAGGTCTGCAGA